CACATCATGTAGCATATTTTAACTAGATAAAATATGCACAACACATCAAACTGTTTGTGCTTAACACATCATGTAGCATACATAAACTAGACAAAATATACACAACACAACCACTTAATTAACACTTTGGGTGGTCATTGACTGATGCTTGAGTTGATGGTCCTTGGATAACTGTGGCCTCTGTGTGACTTGTTGCTCTGTATATTGTCTCACCATGTTCACCTTGCCATAGTCCAAACCCTTCAGGCATTGTGTTGTGAATAGTCCTTCCTCTGCCTCTGCCTCTACTTCCTCCCCTCCCCAAAGTTAAAACTTGTGACTGGGTTGCACCTAAAACCCCTTGTGTACTATTGTTTCCACCTCTACATCTTCTCTCTAATAACAGTGATGTTGGCGTAGGAATATTTTGTCTTCTCGTTTCCTTCATTGATTGACCAATCTTGTTCTTGCTCCCCTTTGGTCTCTCTCTCTTTTTGGTTTGGCTTGTACCTTCATTTACTACTTGTGTTGTCTGACAGTGCACCAAAAATATAAAGCAAGTCATAATTGATTACTTAATAGAAATATAAAGCAAGTCATAAGATAAACTTACTTGTATGTTTTCTGTGCTTGTTGTTTGAGCAGGTGGGGGTGGATTTGAAAATTTCCTCCTTGTATGGTCAGTTGACCCACATAGCTCACACTTCTTGGCTATTTCCTACCTTGAAGCCTTATATGTTTTCTTTGTTTCTTCATTGGGGTCCCTTCTTCTTGCAGTCTTAGGCCTCCTCATTTTCCTCCTTGCAATATTAGGTGACAGTACCATTTCCTCTCCCTCTTTATCCCAAAATCTGCTACCTTCAACTGGATTCAATAAGTTGGCATAGGTGTCTACATAGTTCTCAGATTTATACCAATGTACAATATAATCTTCAGGCTTATGTCTCATTAATATGATAGCACTTATAGCATGAGCACAAGGAATCCCTATCAACTCACATTCTCTACATGAACATGTTCTATTACCCAAATGAAGCTCATGATTGACCCCTCTATGAATGACTTCAAAGCCACTTTCATCTCCAGAACCATTCCAATGTGAAACACAATTTATTTGCTCATTATAAGCATCTTTCAACCTTTTCTGAATTCTAGGAGAAATCCCATCCACAAACTTATTAACCGGTTTTCTTTTTTCTTGCATTCTATCCATTAAAGCCAATCTAATATCCTCTAACATAGATATTATTGGTTTATATCTTACAAGAAGTATGAATGAGTTGAATGTCTTGGACATGTTGTTATCAACACTGTCACATTTACTATCGAGTTTAAAGTGAGACTTACAAAATGTATTGGGATCCCTTAACATAAAGTTATCAAATACTTTTTTAGACAATTTACTCAAGTTTGCTTCTTCAACTAAGAAATCTGTCTTTGTTGTGGCTTTCACACACTTCCAAAACTACCGTTAAAGTTGCCTGCCACCATGAATTTTCCTCCAGTTAGAGTAAATATGCCTAGCACATTGCTTATGCTCTATTGAAGACCAGATTTCATGAATAGCTGGAACTAGTCCCTACAAAAACAACAATATATCAGAACAATACACTGTCATAAAAACATAAGCAAAAATAAATCAGTCAACCACCAAATAGCTGAAACTAGTATCAACAGACATACCTTTTGTTGATCTGAAATAACAGTCCAACCTTCACCATCTCTCATCCTCAAATCAGTAGTCAACAGCCATATAAACTACTCCCATGATGACCTATTCTCTCCCTCAACCACGGCCCATGCTCTTGGCCACATTTGGTTGTTATCATCTCTACCAACAGCACACAGTAATTGATCACCACAAGCATGCTTTAGAAAGCATCCATCAAGGCCAAAAATAGGTCTACAACACTTGATAAATCTCTCCCTCAAAGCAGAAAAGCACACATAGATTCTTTGAAATGTGCATGGGTCTGATCCTCCACCCACCACTTTTAAGCACACATGTACTCCCCTCATTTGATCTACAGATTTCATTCACATATGGTTTAAGCAACCCATATTGTCTTGCCATCAGTCCCTCTGTAGCATTCAATGCCTTATCCTTTATCCTTTGATATTTTCTAAGAGTGACATTGATATTATAATTTGCAGTTATTTCTTCACAGATTTCCCTTGGTTTTATCTTGGGATTTCTTAGAATTTTATCTAGGAACTCATGTGCCAACCAATTTTCTATAATTAACCTATTCTTAAAGGTTCTACTGCAAGTGTGCAATGGTTGAATGTTTTTAATTTGCCAAGCTTGTTCATCTTCACAGTTAGGCCCATCATTTATTTCCCAATAGCACAATGAACAGCCAACATTTATTCTCTTTTTATCATTTTTCATATAAAGCAAGTCATAATGATTTTGAATAGAGTAGTTGAGAATAGCTTGTTTCAATACCTTCCTTGATGTAAACCGTTAGACCCTAGAGGGGGGGTGATTAGGGTCTTATGCTAATCTAATCCGATTATATGCCAATTAAAACTTAATTAACAAGTTATCCTAGCAAGTATAAAATACAACAAGTTATATAAGCTAGGATAAGCAATATGAATAACAAGATATATCCTAACAAAGAGATATAGGCAATGTATGTGCAAGGATATAAAACAAACACAAGGTGATATATCCTATCAAAGAGATATACAATATGATATATGCAAGGATATGTAAACTAACACAAGGGTAAACAAAATGAACTAGATAGAGGATGAAATAAATGAGCAATGCACAATTGGCGATATAAGATAAATACAAAAGCAAATGCGCCAATGACAAACTCCAACACACTCAAATGATCACGGAGTTCGGACCTTCTGTCCTACGTCTCCGCTCCCCACTCCCGGGGAGAAATTCACTATCATAACAGGGTTTTCTACGCTCACCCGAATAACGTTTACACCTCACACTCGGTTTTCTAGCTAACCGAAAACTTTACAATCAACACTCTTGCAATCACACTCTACACTCTCACAAGTGTTGGACCTAGCCGTGTCTCCCTCAAGTGCTCGGTTACAACCTCTTCCTAGGCTCGTCAACCGACGTCACTCCTCTTGGGACGATCCCCGACTCTCACCACACACTCCTCTCGGTGTACAAGTGTATTACAAAGTGAATCTCACAATTAGGCTCAATACAATAATTGATTGTTCTCAACTATAGATGAGAACACAATGTAAGCTCAATCTCACAAATCACAATCCCACAACCCAATATATAATGTATGAAATGCTACAAGCTCAAATAGGGTGTGTGTAATAAAATGAGTATAAATAAAATCTAACTCAATTAACAAACTAGAAATAAATGATAATATGAAAATAAAAACGAATTGCTAGAGAATAGAGTTAGGAAAACTTTTCTATAAACACAAAGAGAGGATGAAGAAGATTGAGGATGAATCCCTCAATTGACAACGTGAGCTTCCTCCTTTGTAAACACAAACCCCAAACTAAATAAACTTTTAATCTCCTTTAAAACTTGTTTAAAACTCTCTTTAAAACTCTTCTTGGATAATTATAGAGCTGGGTATAAGGGGTATATATAGGAGACCCCAAAACATAAGAAAAACCCAGCAAAAGGACAAAAACCCCGAAAAACAAGGAGTCTGAAAAAGTAGCCGTTATGCAGTAATAAGTCGACTTGCTACAGTGATAAGTCGACTTATAACTAGCCGTTACAGCTAAATTTTCAGCTTATAAGTCGACTTCAAGTCGACTTAACAGACAGTATAGGTTTTCGGCAGAGTCCGAAATTTTGCGTATCTGGTTTTGTAAAATCAATTAAAAATAGTAAATCAACTCTAAAAATTATAAAATTTTGTGAAAAGTTTCTAAACAAAAGAATTTCTTAAATATCACTTCCTATTTGAGAGAAATAATTTATTTTATAAACTGGTCGAAAATACATAACTGTGCAACACTTCATAAGTCGACTTACTATAAGTCGACTTGCCTTGCTTTATAAGTCGACTTAGCAGAGGAGAAAATGCACTTTCTAGAGGAGTTCATAAGTCGACTTGTCAAGGTTTATAAGTCGACTTATAAACATGTACAGACACTATTTATGCTGAAAATCTGATTTTTAAAGTGCCTTTAAAAATAACAAATAAATTCCAAAAAATATAAAACTTTGGAAAATATTTATAAACATGTTGATGAACATGTTACAAAAGAAATTTTTGGAATTTCACTTATCATTTGTGAAAACTTATCATATTACAAAAATGTCCAAAACATGTAAACATGAGATACTTGAATTTTGATGTTTTGACATAAACCAAGTTTTGAAACTTTGTAAAATATTTGTATGGACATAATAAAAGATGTTTATGATGTATATATAGTCCAAAACATATTTTTCATAAAAACACCAATATTTACAAAAATCACAAATATATATGTGTGTGTATATTTGAGCTTATAGAATTAACACACATTATATAAAACCTAAACTACAAACATTATAAACTATATACCCAAGCTTGATGAAGGTCTTCAATGAGCTTAACTTGGTACACTTATGGATGAAGCTTGAACTTGGATCTTCAACTTGAATTTGCATAGCTTTATCGACATTCCGCCAACCTCCTTTGGATATGATCGTTGAAGCTCTATTCCATCCATCCTCCAATCACGTTGTTTGTCTACAATACATAGGAATGCACAAATACTAGACAAATAACATTAGTAGTAAATTGTTTGTTAAACATCATCAAAACAAGAAGGCCAACAATCTCCCCCTTTTTGATGATGACAAACAATTTACAAAAAGAGATATATGCATGAAGAAAATGAATATATAATTTATAATTCACATGCATATAAACAAGAAAGAATATACTCAAGAAGCAGGTAATGGGAGAATTTGGATTCTTTGGAATAGTGATATTCTTTCTATCCAGTGTGTCAAAACTTCTATGCAATATGTTACATGTTCAGTCATCACAAAGGATGGCAGGCTCTCTTGCTTAATGACTGTGGTTTATGCCCTGAATCAAAGAAATGGAAGAAAAGTATTATGGCAGGAACTTCAAGGCTTCAAGCTATCAGTTGATTGCCCATGGCTAGTTGGGGGAGATTTTAATGCCATTACCAATGGTGATGAAAAATTGGGAGGTGCACCAACTACAGGAGCAGATACTGATGATTTTCAACACTTCATTTCTTCTAATCAACTGGTGCATATTAAGACTACTGGGTGCTACTACACATGGTTCTAATCAACTGGTGCATATTAAGACTACTGGGTGCTACTACACATGGAATAACAAACAGGAAGCTGATACTAGAGTTTGGAGTAGATTAGACAGAGTTTTGGTCAATGACTTATGGATCTTACAGTATACAACAAGTCAAGTAGACTTTTTACAGCCAGTTTGTTCTGATCATTCTCCAGCCCTCCTTACAGTTGGAGATGATGATTTTCAGGTGAAAAAGCCATTCAAATTTTTCAAGATGTGGACTAAACACATTGAATATCTCTCTATAGTCAAATCTATTTGGCAGCAGGATGTGCAAGGCTATTATATGTACAAACTATCTTCCAAGCTGAAAATGCTCAAACCTGCCCTCAAAGAATTAAATAGAAGACATTTCATGAATATTAGTGAGCAGGTGTTAAGAGCCAAACAGGAGCTATCTGATATCCAAAATAGGATGAGTACTGACTAATTCAACTCTCATCTTATTTCCAAAGAGAAGGAGTGCTTGAAAAAATACACCTCTTTACTCCAATGTGAAGAATCTTTTTATAGGCAGAAAGCAAGCATAAAATGGGCTATTCAAGGAGATAAATCCTCTCATTTCTTCCACTCAACCATGAAAGCTAGAAGGCATCAAAATAGGGTGTTGTCTCTGTATACTGAGGATGGAAACAGAATATCTGACATGGACACAATCATCAATGAGCTTATTAACTACTACAAGAGTTTATTGGGAGTATCTGGAAATGTTGCTGAACCTGACATTATTACAATAACCAATGGTCCTATTCTCTCATCAAGTCAAAGGGAATTTTTAGCCTCTCCTGTTACTAAAGAGGAAATAAAACTTGCTGTTTTCACTATGTCTGATGATAGAAGCCCTGGTCCTGATGGATTTAGTGCTTCATTTTTTAAAACTGCTTGGAATGTAATTGGAGATGAGATGTGTAAAGCTGTGGAAGAATTCTTTTATACTGGCAAGCTCCTTGGCACCTTCAACTCAACCTCCATCACATTGGTGCCTAAAATTCTTAACCCAAGATCTCCCTCTGATTATGGACCTATCTCTTGCTGCAACTGTGTCTACAAAGTGATATCAAAAATTATTGCCGCCAGAATTCAGAATGTTATTGGCTATCTGATTAATGATGCTCAGAGTGCATTTGTCAAGGGCAGGCTGATTTCTAACAGCACAAACCTCATTGGGACTTTAAGACAGTACATTTGAACAAAGTTATGTTTTCTGCAAATTGCGAAAGCCATAATAACATGTTCAAAGAAGCAAAACATACACCCAGTGTTTCAAAACAATACATTTGAACAAAGTTATGACCTTATTTCTAACAATATTCTCCTAGCACATGAACTCTTAAAACACTATGGCAGGAAGAATGTCTCTCCAAGGGTTGTCCTTAACATTGATTTGAGGAAGGCATTTGACACTATAAATTGGAATTTTATCAAGGCTACGCTGATAGGTCTGGGATTCCCTAATAATATGGTTACATGGGTGATGGAATGCATTTCTACCTCTAAGTTCTCCTTATCACTTAATGGCTCTTTACATGGCTACTTTGAAGGAGCTAGAGGACTGAGGCAAGGAGATCCATTGTCTCCCTATTTGTTTGTGCTTGGTATGGAGTATCTATCCAGAAAACTCAAATTTCTCTGCACAGACAGACTATTTAAATACCATCCAAAATGTGCTAAGATGGGTATTACTCACTTGATATTTGTTGATGATCTACTGCACTTTTGTAGAGCTGACATGGATTCTATAGCCAAAATTAATAACTGTCTTCAAGAGTTTAGTAAAGTATCTGGATTGGAGGCCAATTCTTACAAAAGCTCTGTCCTCTTGAGTGGTATTGATGATATTTCTAAGGATCTGATATGCTCATATCTAAATTTTCCATAGGGTTCTTTACCTATGAGATACTTAGGAGTGCCATTGGTCTCAAAAAGGCTTTCTTACCTGGATTGTTCATCATTGATCTCAAAAATTTCAGATAAACTTCAAGACTGGCAAAGTAGGAAGAACCTATCTTATGCAGGGAGAATTCAACTTATAAAAACTGTTATCTTGGGTATTCAAACTTACTGGACAAGTAACTATATCTTGCCGATGAAGGTGCTGGAAAAAATTGACATGCTTTGCTCTGCTTTCTTATGGGGAAACAAAATCCATCTGGTCTCCTGGACAGAAGTCTGTAAGGATAAGAAGCTAGGAGGTCTGGGGCTATTCTCCTCCAAATTATGGAACTATGCTACAACAATCAAGATGTTATGGATGATACACTCTAAAAAAGATCTCTTGTGGATAAAATGGGTGCATGGAAATTGTTATGGATGATACACTCTAAAAAAGATCTCTTGTGGATAAAATGGGTGCATGGAAATTACTTAAAACAGCAGGAGATTTGGCAAGTTCAACCGAGAAGAAGTGATTCATGGATGTGGAGACAAATCCTAAGGGTGAGGGATTTGGTGTTGAGGAGGTTTGGGAATGAGTTTAACCTCCATAGAATCATTGCTAACTGTCACAATAATGAGACAATGAAAATCTCATCTGTTTATAATGCCATATCTCAACCTGTAGCAGCTGTACCCTGGGCGAACACAGTTTGGGGGGGGGGGATTGCATTATCCAAAGCATTCGATGATTCTATGGCTTGCTACTCTGTCGAAGCTTCTGACTAAGGATAGGTTGTGTCGCATGGGTATATTGGAAGACAACCAGTTGTTTGCGGAAAAAGTTGCTGTATTCATTGCTGCATTCATTACAACTTTGATCGTTACAATGAAATAAAAAGATAGCCTTTTTATAAGACTGGTACACAATGAAAACAAAAGAAATACAACTCTTTTCAAACAAACGCAAGATCTGTTTGTCATCTCTTGCTTGCGTGGGTCTTTTGCCTGTGACGGGGATGTTGATATCCGTGGACCACCGGGGCACTCAGATCTGGTCCGAAAAATCGGACAGAGCTTCGTCTATCCGTGAGGGGATATAGAAGCAGAACTTCGTCGATCTGCGTGAGATCTAGAAGTTTACAGCTCCTATCTCGGATAATCGAGATATTCGCTCTACTTAGTATCACCGCTAAGGGGGAACACTAAGGAAAATAGAAAGGGGAATGAAGAAGGAGGCTCCTTTGCTGCAGAAGGCTCGCTCACTCCTCGATCCGGCAGGGCTTCGCCTAGGCTCTCCAAAAATCCTCTCCTCTCTCTCTAGCCTTGCTCCAAGACCAAATAAATCCAGCCCTTTGAATGAGGACCCAAGGGGTCTATTTATAGGCCAAAAGGAGGGGGGGTGGTAAAAGGTGAGTACACCCTTGGGGTGTCTCGGCCTTGGCCGAGACACCCCCAGGGTGTCT